CTCTGGGGCTGGAGAGATGACTCAGCACTTAAGAGCACTGGCTGATCTTCTAAAGGACCTGGGTTCAATTCCCAGCATCCACATGGCAACTCACCACTGTCTGTAGCTCCAATTCCAAGGGATCTGGCAACTTCACAGACATACATGCTGGCAAAATACCAACGCACATAAAATTAAATAAATCTTAAAAAAAAATGGATCTTTCCACCTCAAAAGATCCAGATTAAAAGTGGTTCTTCCCACTTCAAATGATTTAATTTAAAAAAAAAAAAATTCCCCCACAGACGTACCCAGCCACTTAGGTTTTAGTTCATTCCAGATGTAGTCCAACTGACAACTAAGAACAGTCATTGCAGAGGGGATGACTTATGAATTCTCAGTCTTCAAAGACAGGCGCAGCTCTCCACAACTGCAGAACTCAGGAAGCTGAGGCAAGAGAATATTGAGCTTGAGCTCAGGTCCTATCTCTAAACAAAACACATCTTCAAAAGGCAGTTAAAAAAGAAAAAAGAATGAGCCCCGCCTAAAATAAAATTAATGACGTGGAAAGAAAACCTGAGGACATGTCTCAGAATGTTGCGAAGATTCAATTGTAACATGTAGATATACCAGGTTTCGTTGTATCACATCTGTCTGTCTGTCTATCTATCTATCTATCTATCTATCTATCTATCTATCATCTATCTATCTATCATTTAATGTGTTGTGGAGGTCAGAGGACAACTTTCAGGAGTTGGTTTTTGCCTTCCATCATGTGAAGCCCAGGGATTGAACTCAGTCAGGCTCAGCAGCAGGTGCCTTTACCAGCTGAACCATCCCAAGAACCCTTTTTTGATCCACCTACAAGGTGACTCCCAAGGGCCTGATGGAATTCATATTGCACTGGGGGTTTGTCTTTATGACCAAGAGCATATAGCAGAAGCAATAATTTATCACTCTGACTAGGGCATGAAGACACAGCGGAGTCTATTTTGGTTGCTTTTTCTCTTATTTTTTGTGAGAACTCAAAGCTTCCCTGTTGCACATGACCTGTGGATAAGCCCAAATAGGGAGGAAGTGAGGCCCTCTGACCAACTGCTGTGTGAGAATCCTGAGTCAGTAAGATTCCAATTATGGCACCCTAGTCAATATCATGAGATACCCTGACTCAGATCTATCTAGCTAAGCAACTGCTCTGCTAGATTCCCAGAGGGATAGTGTTTAACTCTGTTTTTCTTTTTTTTTTTTTTTTTTTTTGGTTTTTTCGAGACAGGGTTTCTCTGTGTAGCTTTGCGCCTTTCCTGGGACTCACTTGGTAGCCCAGGCTGGCCTTGAACTCACAGAGATCCGCCTGGCTCTGCCTCCCGAGTGCTGGGATTAAAGGCGTTAACTCTGTTTTAATTTGCTAAATTTGGAGATGATTTGTTATGGAGCAATAGATAACCAATACAGTGATGGAGTGGAGGGGGAGGCAGAAGGAAGATTAGGAGACAATTGGAGACTTTCAAGAGACTAGACTGTGTGTCAGCACCCATGGAAGAATTCAACAGACAAAGAAGGGTGCAGATGCGGTGGGGGGGGGGGAGACATGTGAGAGCCGGAGGGTCCTGGGAATGAGGGTGGAGGTGAGGTCCGGAGGCCAGGAGTGGGGCCTGGCTTTCAGCAGGAGGAAGGGAATGTTTTAAAGATCTCAAGTCCTCATTTGTTTGATAGTGCATTTGAGTTTGAGATCCCGCGGAAGAAGCTGTCTTGACAAGCTTGGTCAGAGAAACAAGGGGCACAAACACCAAGGATACTGCAGGGAAGACAGAGATTAGAAGCAGTTTGAGCGTTAACATGGCTAACGAAAAGCCATTGTAGGAGTATGATACAAAACAGTGAGCTTGAACACTGGAAAACTCGGTGAAGTGTGTTACCCAACATTTGGGAGGAAAGGTCATCCTTACGTAGTATATTCCAGGCCAGTCTGGGCAAATATGAGACTCTGACGCAAAACAAACAAGCAAAATTGAGACTCCAAATAAGAGTTTCTAAGATCAATTTTTTCCTCTAATGATCAGTTTCTAGAACTGCTTTGTAGACAGAAAACTGAGAATAATAGTGGAAATGGCACAGGGCTGAGATGTGTGTGTTTCATGAATTATTCCATTCATACTCTAAAAGTTGTGTTGTCTGGCCCAGTAATAAGCAATGGAATGATCAAGTGTGGCTATTTAAACCTAAATTGATTAAAATAAGTAAGACTCAAAATTCAGAGCTTTTACTGATTTCAAGTGCCCAGAAGTTGCATGTAACCAGTAGTTGTCATGTTGAATAGCACAGAAAAGAATGTCTCTACCACTACTGAATCATCCATGGGAAAAGAAGAGATCACTCTTATTCTAGATCACATGTTTTCCAGTTCGTAACAAAAGCTGAGAATGCTCCAGTTTGCTCTATTAAACTGTGATCACTTTGATGCCAACACAGGGTTATGGTAGGTTTTAATGCCAACTCACCACAAATCTCACGAATAGGGAGCCTCATCTGAAAATGTGTCTTGATTGCTTTGATTGATGATGGGAAGGCGCACTCTGATTTGGAGGACCGCTCTGTTGAGGCATTCAGTCTCAAGGACCAAGGGACTTCTGGACTCTCGGTTTCTCGGGTGTGAATTAGCTGTTGTTGCTAGTTGAAAGCTGACTAATAAATCCATAATCTCCCATTGGTTCTGTTCCTCTAGAGAATGATGACTCATACACACAGTGGTGTTATGATAGTTCTAAGTCAGATTCACTTATGAATAGATGCAGACACTCTGAAGCAACTTCCAGTACTGCAAATTCAGATGCTCATTCAGGAATGACCCAACCCTGGTAGCCTAGCAGTCCAAGGACACTTTAGCAATAGGATGCCAAGTAGTAAAATGTATCATATCAGCAGAGATGAGTAGAAAAATATGGCTGTCTTCATGTATATATAAGTATTTGATAAAATTTGAGGCAAAAGTCAGTTATTTGGTTTGCTAAATGATAGGTTTATCAGCATGATGCTCCTAAATAGCCAAGTCATTTTTAATGATGAATACTGCACGCCTCCCAGCTAAAGTGAGGAATAAGACAAACCCAAGGCCTGCATTCATTCCTATTATTTAATGCCACTCTAGAATTTCCAGCATCAATAATCATTAAGAAGTACAAAGGAAAGGAACAGAGCTAGTATATTAAGATTTTAGACATAAGGTGGGACAATGGTGGCACATGCTTGGAACCCAACACTCAGGAGTCAGAAGCAGGTCAAGAACCTCAAGTTTGAGACTAGCCTTAGCAACATTACACTACATGTATGCATCTCATTTCTCTGCTTTTTGTTATTATCTCTTTGGTTTGGTATATTGAGGACCCACTGCTGAGCATAATTAGATTGGGGTACCAGAGTCCAGGTTTTGGTGCTAACAGCCCTGGTAATAGTAAGCAGCAGTGTTGAAAGAATCCATTTTAGGCCGGGCGGTGGTGGCGCACACCTTTAATCCCAGCACTCGGGAGGCAGAGGCAGGAGGATCTCTGTGAGTTCGAGGCCAGCCTGGTCTCCAAAGCGAGTTTCAGGAAAGGCGCAAAGCTACACAGAGAAACCCTGTCTCGAAAAAACCAAAAAAAAAAAAAAAAAAGAAAGAAAGAAAGAATCCATTTTCTTCCAGATTCGTCTAGCTCCCAGTTCACAGCTGCCCCCAAACTGTATGAGCTGAGAAATATGCAGAAAGGGCACCAAAATATCTACATGGGAAAAATCACCTACTCTTTATGTCAGTGCACATGATTTCTGCTTCTAGAACGGCAAAGCATTACACAATGTGCTGGCTTCTTGAAGCCGGGCTTTGACTGTGGCCATCGATAACCTTTATCTTTACCCCGTGAACCAAGTTCCCAGAAAGGAGCCACATCATCAAATGGAACATTCTGTAAGACTGATTGGCTTATTAGCTCTCCAGTGATTGTGGAGAGCTTGGAATGTTCCTAGTCCAGAGCCAAATGATCTCAGGCCATCTTTTTTTTTTTTTTTGGTTTTTCGAGACAGGGTTTCTCTGTGTAGCTTTGCGCCTTTCCTGGAACTCACTCGGTAGCCCAGGCTGGCCTCGAACTCACAGAGATCTGCCTGGCAATCTCAGGCCATCTTTAGCCCCATTCATAGCTGTCTTTTGCCCTCCCAAGATCCTTTGTGACATTATGTAGACGGCTTGGAATGTACAAACAGGGCACTAGCTTTTCTTTGGAATGTATCAGTTTGGTAGACCACTAGCTTCCACCACCCCCAAAGCTGAGCGCTGTTACAAAGCATCTGAGGCCTATCACAGGGGTTCCCCAATTTTCTGTAGCCCACCTTTCTGATGTGTCCACCAATATATTAGAAGAGTCTTGATTTATGACTTTCCTTGTTCTGTAACCATAACAATGTTTTAAAACTGCTTCCATATTGGAACATGGAATTTGGAGTGATATAAATCTGTGTTCCCAGGCTATGATGACTCATATTTGGCTCCATAATAAATTATTTATCTCCTGTGAGGTGAGAATGTTATTGAACTTGGGGACAAAGAAATCCAGTGAACTCCCTGCCCCCAAGCCTATCTTGCAATGCAAGTCCATCTTCCCAATGTGGCCACATTGAATAAATCTCCCTTTTCTGCTTTCCACCTTTGATTTGGCTCTTTTAATTAGCTTATTGAGGACAAGCGGCCATATCTGGCTTAGAGCACATGTTGTAACCCCAAGTGCAATAATAAGAGCTGTGTTTTTGTGTTGGCAGTTATGATGCCACAATGTGATGCTCTGAGAAACCTTTTTTTTTTGGTTTTTCTTTTTTTTTTCTTTTTTGTTTTTTTTTGGTTTTTCGAGACAGGGTTTCTCAGTGTAGCTTTGCGCCTTTCCTGGAACTCACTTGGTAGCCCAGGCTGGCCTCGAACTCACAGAGATCCGCCTGGCTCTGCCTCCCGAGTGCTGGGATTAAAGGTGTGCGCCACCACCGCCCGGCAACCTTTTTTTTTTTAAACAGGAGTTCCCTGCGTAGCCCTGGCTGTCCTAGGACTTGTTCTGCCGACCAGGCTGGCCTTGAACTCAGAGATCTAACTGGTTCTGCCTCCCGAGTGCTGGGATTAAAGGCGTGCGCCGCCGGCCGCCACCACCACCTGGCTAACATCTACTTTTCATCAGAGAAGTCACCTGGATGGAAGAGAGATACCCAAATGGACCCCATTGAGCCCAAGTCACTTGGGTGTTATTTCCTCAGGTGGATTTTGGTGAATTATTTTTGGAACTCAATTGGACCTCCCTGGATTTGGTCAATGGTCCATTACTTTATTATGGACTGAGGTTTTTAGGATCTTGCTTGTTGTAAGAATGTAATGTTAGAATCCAGGTTCACAAATGCCAGGTCTCCAGTTGGTAGTTCTGTTTAGGAAGCTTAGGAGGTGTGGCCTTGTTGGAGGAAGTATGTCACTGGAGGTGGGCTTTCAGAGCTAAAAAACTGGGCCATTTGGAATTTGCTCTGTCTGCTTCATGAGTGGTTCAGGATGTGAACTCTCAGCTTTCTGCTCCTGCCACATGTCCCCATGCCGCTGCTCTGCCATCATGGACTCTTATCTCTCTAGAACCAAAAGCTCAAACTTTTCTTTTCTTTTCTTTTTTTTTTGGTTTTTCGAGACAGGGTTTCTCAGTGTAGCTTTGCGCCTTTCCTGGAACTCACTTGGTAGCCCAGGCTGGCCTCGAACTCACAGAGATCCACCTGCCTCTGCCTCCCGCGTGCTGGGATTAAAGGCATGTGCCACCACCACCCTCAAACTTTTCTCTAAGCTGCCTTCCTCATGGTGTTTCATCACAGCAGTAGACAAGTAACTAATACACTCACCCCTTTCACAGTTGCTGACAGGCACCCTAATGAGACACTGTGAACCCTGAGGAACAGGGTTGTTGGTAGCCTGGGAGAACCACATCCTGCTCCCCATTCTCTTCCCTACCTCCTTGCCTGGGAATCAGTGAGCCTAGCTGTGAGATCTTGCTGTGAACTCCCTCCATCCTCAAGAGGTCTAAAAAGAGACTACCTCCTGTGCCATGTGGGCTCTGATTCTCCTCACAGATCCCACCATGATGTCTGTCTCTGGTGCTGGGACTTGAATTCTTGGAGTTTGGGACATGCTGTTGCCCCTTGGTGTAGGCGGAGTTTTCCATTGCTGACAGCCACTCTCGAATAACCACTCAGAGTCTTAATATTAATTACAAATGCTCGGTCAATAGCTCAGGCTTGTTACTAGCCAATTCTTACATTTTCTTATCTATGCTTTGCCACGTGGTTTGGTAACATTTCTCAGTATGGCATGCCCATCTTGCTTCTCTCTCTGTCTGCTCACAACTCCTCACTTCACCCTTCTTCCTCCCAGCATTCTCAGTTTGGCTCTCCTGTCTAACCTTATCCTGTTCAGCTATTGGCCAGTCAGCTTGTTTATTAGGGAATATTCCACACCTTTGTCTGTGTATTAATGCTATTAATAACTCTTCTAATAAACTTCTTATTCTCAAGTAATCCATCTCGGTGTCCTCTCTAACACCCTTCCCCCACCTAAACCTAACATTTGTCTGGATCCTTTAATTGGTTGATTGATTACTTCCCCAGCGTTTGCTTTAAATTATCTATTTTGATTGTTTTTGAAACATTTTGGTTTGATTGATTGTCTTTAGTTTTGTTTGCTTTTAGACCTTTAGAGATGTTTTGGTTTCTGTTTCAGCCTTGCAGAGGAGATCCATCTTGAAGCATGGTTGGTGAATTTCCCCATCTGTTGGAAGGCAGCGCTACCCTACCAGTTTGCATGTTATCCTGGCTTCCTTTACTTCCGCTTTTTGTTTGTTTTGTATAGGTTTATCCGTCCTCTGTTTCTGGTCAGATGGCAGTATGTGTGGCATTGTGGGGACATTATAAGCAATGATCCCTTAGATGTCCCACATCAGTCTCTTGTCTCCAAGAGAGCCCTGAGATACAGTGGAGAATGCCTTCCCCAGAGCAGACACAGGGACAACAGACTGCTTCTGTACCTTTTCTTCCTCTAAAGTCTTAACATTCTTTGTTTCCTTCTTTCCTGTCTCCTTGACTTCAGGACCCTGAGGCTTAGACAGAAGAACCCTGTCATATTCCTCCCTTATGATGGGACTTCTTAGGTCTGAATAGATGATTTTAAACCATATATTCTTGCTTTGTGAAAGGTTAAAAACCAGCTAATAAGTGTATCTTTGTCTTTACACTTTGCACTGGACAGAGCACTTCTGACCCAAAGGCTTCTGGGGATGCCCAGAGGGGAAAGCAGCCAGGTGAATCAATTGGTAGTGACCAAATTCTGGGTAAATTACTGTATGGTATAGGCCAGCATTGCCAGACCTAGGGAGGAAACTGCACCCCAGACTGACACTGGACCAGCACAGGACGCCTGATCTAAGAATCTCTTATTTTATTTCTTTCCTCTTCTTGTAGACACACAGCAAGCATATGCAATATCACTTAGCTTCAAAAGACTAAAAGAAGGGCCAGGCAGTGGTGGCACATGCCTTTAATCCCAGCACGCGAGAGGTAGAAGTAGGCAGATCTCTGTGAGTTCAAGGTCAGCCTGGTCTACAGAGCAAGTTCCAGCACGGCCAGAGCTGCACAGAGAAACCCTGTCTTGAAAAACAAAACAAATAGTAAAGTGTTATCTGGATTCTATTAAGTGTTTCTTAAAACCTTAAAATGTTACTTATTTATATCATATAACATTCATTAGAGTCGTAAGATAAAGATTTCATTTAAGCTATAATTTAGTGTTTTATTCATAGATTTTGGTAAGGATTTCCTTCCAGAACAGGTTGTAGATTTAAAAAATTATTTTAAATTGTATTTAATTTATATAATAGTCATAGGTAATATAAAATCATATGTTGTCTTTTTCAAAATATGCTTACTGTAGAAATGTTGCAAGTTGTTTATTAAGGCTAGGCTACATGTAAAATAATGGATATGCGTGTTTGCTAAAGATCTTCATGCTGTTTCCCTTCACAGCGAGGATTATAGGAAATAGAATCCTAACAAACAACAACATTCAAAATGCTGGCCTTTAAAAGTCTATTTTTATGTGTGATTGTGTCTCTAGGCACTGTCTATAAGTGCCTATGTTTAGAGTGCCATTTACTTGGTACAAAATTGACTGGCAAGTGAGGGCTCACGTAAACTACAGCTTCCTTTTGACTCAGAGTAAACCTAAACTTTGAAGGGAAAAAGTCTCAGTTCCAGAGGCCCCACCATGCTGAGTTTGTCCTCATGTCCCAGCGCCAGTTAAAGGGACAGAACGATGGCAAAGGAGAGGTGGCTGATGGTCCTAGGTCTTTCTTTGCAGGAAGTAACATGTGTTTTTGAAATTTTAATTGAAGGGATATTTTGAAAAGACAGTATATACATAATGACACAGTTCTGATCAAGGTGTCATCTCCTTGATCCTTGTCTTTATTCTGGGTCTACAGCGCAGTCCCAATGGCTTGAGGGAGAAATTAATTTTAAGAGATGATTGCTCCTGCTCCAGGTGCAGTTTTCCTATTGGATAATTGCCCGCCTCTGAGATTCTCAGCTCTTCATCCTGAGGATTAAGAGGATTATGTGTCTCTGTGCTTTTAGATATGTTTTGTATATATGTGTATGTGTATATAATTATAAGCAATTTAAGGATTTTTAAGTTGTTTTTTTTTTTTAACAACTATTGCCTCTACTGTCAGCTCTCTCCTTCTGTCTTGTGGGTCTTGGAGCTTGAACTCAGGTCATTAGGCTTGGTGGCAGTGTCTTTTCACACTGACCCATCTCATCAGTCCTGTGTTAGTAGGGTTCTCTAGCTTCACTGAACTTATGGAGTGAATCCTATATCTAACTATGTATATCTATGTACATATATCTGCACATACACACACGCACATACATATATATGAGAATTTATTGGAATGACTTACAGGCTGCAGGCCAGCTGATACAACAATGGCTAGCTGTGAATGGAAAGTCTAAGAACCTAGTAGTTGCTCAGTCCCACAAGGCTGAATGTCTCAGCTTGTCTTCTGTATATACTTGAATCCCTAAGAAGTAGGCTCCAGTGCCAGTGAAGGAATAGATATGCTAGAAAGGCAAGAGCAAGCAGGCAAAGAGAGAGTTTCCTTCTTCTATGTCCTTATATAGGCCTCCAGCAGAAGGCATGGCCCATATTAAAGGTATGTCTTCCCACCTCAAGATCTGAATTAAAGGTCTATGTCTTCTAGCCATAATCTCCATTTCTGAATTTTTAGTTCATTCCAGATATAGTCAAGGTGACAACCAAGAATAGCTATTACAAGTCCCAAGCACTAACATTTATTAAGTTAGTATTTAAGGTGTTCCATAGTACAATTATCTGTGATTAAATAATTAATTAAACAATATCTGTATCTTGCTAATAGGAAGGAAAAGGACAATATTACAGTGACTCCTAGAATTGATTTTCATTTATAACCATTAAAGTAAGAAGTAAGATTTGATTATGCTTAAAGACTCATAAAATTCTGATTTCTAATTGGCCTAACCTTGTTTTAATTGCTGTTATTGAGATTTGGTATGTAAAAAGGCAATCCTACTAAAAGAGAGTTTAAAGGAATTAATTTTTTTTTTCTCTAGTCTGACTTTTCACTTACCTTTCTGTAGGGAGGGGAGGAAGCCCCGAGTGAATGAAATCCTGAGTGAATAAAGGCTTTGACATGAGTTTTGCCTATTGAGGACTCTGAGACAGGTTGGCCCATGGCAAAGCCCTTACACATGTGGACCGGGCTCAAGAGGTGTCAGTGAGCATCAAGGACTGATGAGTGTGTGCAAAGACCAGCAACTATGGCTTCCTCCTCCCAGATGTTTCCTGCCTGAGACTGCTCGTCTACGGAGATCTCCTATCAAGACTAGTCAACCCCTCCCCCTGCGCTGTACATAATAAACATACGAACGGTTGGGTTATGGCAGTTGGAGAACCCCATCTGATCTCAGCTTCGTTGTCAGTGTCTGTCCTTTCTTCTTTCCCTCACCATCCCTGGCTAGGGTTCTGGGACCCAAGCCTTGAGGGTTGTGGCTCCTTTCCAAACTAAAATCTGGTGTAATACCAACAATACAACTGATCGAGTCAGCACCCACAGATAAGAGGTATGCCAATTTAGATACTGAGGGTCAATTGTTCCGAGAATTAGAGTCAGCTATTCCACATGAGGTTATGGTGATGGAATCAAACCAACAAGGAAAAAAAAAACCCACTAAAATTAAAAGATAATAGATTTATTTAAATATACCACAAATAAAAGATCATCCATACAGATCACTGCAAATATGGGGGGAAATATAAGTCAATATAAGTTTTTTAATGTGTAAATTTTGTTTATTTAAAATGTCTGTTTCCTTTGTATGTTACCTTTACTCTATGAAGGCAGACAGTGTTCTTGATTATTTTAATTTTTAATATTAAAAACTCTCAACATACGTCACATGTTATGTCAAAGACAGAGAATTAAAGCATCAGATCTTGATCACAATGTCTAGTAGAGTTTAGTGCTATGACCCAGGAGTGTTTGTCTTTATGGCTTTACTAACTATTCCTCTCTACTGAAGACTGCTGTCTGCCTACTGTTCAGCCTTATCTACTTCACATTCTAGGAATGAGCCTTCCTAGTACAATAGGCCTTCTGCTAATGTGTGACTCCTACATGCACAGAATGTGACTCTCGGCCAACAGGAGGAACTCTGTCACAGGTCTCAGAGATAAGCAAGGCTGATTAACTGATTGGAGTTTGAGTGATGTGGAGACGTTGGAATGTTGCAGGTCCAGACTCAATTATAATTTATCTTGGGCTTTCTTTAGTCCCTAAATAGACACTCTTTACCACCTTTACATTGGACCTAACATCATATGACTAACAGATGAAAACCTTTTGGAACATATTAACAGGACCACAGTTTCTACCAACCAAAAGGCTAAGAGTGTCATCTGAGGCCACAGCTGAGAATCTCCTCTACACTATAACTACCCACTTAATATTTCCACCAATGTATTTGAAAAGTGCCTTGATGATGGCTTTCTTCGTTCTGGTACTGCAAAATTTCATGAGGCTACTTCTATATTGGAACATGGAATTGGGAGTTACCTAAATCTGTGTTGCATTTGACTCCAAGTAAACCTTCTTGTTATGGAATATTTTACATAACAAGATGTGTTACATTTGTTTATGCTGTAGAACAAATTTTTTAATGGTGCGTAGATGTATTGCATTCTTTTATGTTGCATTTGTTTAACTCTGTGAAGCTGTGTTACTTTGCCTGTCTAAAACACCTGGTGGTCTAATAAAGAGCTGAACGGCCAATAGCTGGGCAGAGAAAAGATAAGTGGGGCTGACAGGCAGAGAGAACAAATAGAAGGAGAAATCTTAGAGGAGAGGATCAAGGAATGAGAAAAAGAGGAGAGGAAGACTCCAGGGGCCAGCCACCCAGCCACACAGCCAGCCAGGGAGTAAGAAGTAAAGAAAGGTACATAGACTAGAGAAAGATAAAAGCCCAGAGGCAAAAGGTAGATGGAATAATTTAAGTTAAGAAAAGCTGGTTAGAAACAAGACAAGCTAAGGCCAGGCATTTATAAGTAAGAAAAAGCCTCCATGTATTTATTTGAGAGCTGGGTGGCAGGACCCCCAAAAGAGTCAAAGAGTAAAAACCAACCAACTACACCCTCCAACTACACCCTCACTCATGCTCTTTGAGATGAGAGCTGTGCTTGTGCATCACCAACACAAACCTGGAACTACTGGAAGACAGGATCAGAAGTCTTCCCTACCCTTCTGTGTTCTGGAAAACAAAGAGGGATTACTGTAAGGCCCCTTTCTTATCCGTGTGACTTAGTGACGACCCATGGACATCCGTTCGTTTTCCTAAACTAGGCCAGAAAGTCCCTGCAAATTTTCATCCTTGGCCTCTCACCAGTGTTCTCTATCAGAACACAACCCTAGTTCACTAAACTGTCTTCTGAACTCTGACCTGTACCCATCCTTAGCCAGCATATGAGAGTCCTCATTGTCCCTCCAAGAATAGGCTGTGACCTTTCTAATTACACATTGTTCCTTCTACCTTTTAGCCTTGCTCGCTTCTCCTTATTCAAAAACAAAAATCAAAAAGCAAAGTCTTCCTCTAAACTCTTGAGACACTTTTCCCCAAAGTTGCCCAGAGGCCTTGAATTTGGGTCCTATTTGCTCCATAGTTGCTGCAATCACAGGGCTCTATCGCACTCCGCTTGACTTTCAGAACTTATGGCCAGAGTTCACGGAATACAGCCACTCCACCTTTGCAACAAACGTTTGATTCCAGTGTCTTCTAACTGACCCAGGTTTAATCTCTCTGTCTACTATCTATCTATCTATCTATCTATCTATCTATCTATCTATCTATCTATCTGTCTGTCTGTCATTTTGTATCTATGTACATATGTATGTATCTATCTGTCTATCATCCATCCATCTCTCCATCATCTGTCTGTCTATCTATCTATCTATCTATCTATCTATCTATCTATCTATCTATCATTTTTGATGCCACATGGATAATGAAGCATAGGAAGCAAAAGCTGAAGCCCCATCCCACTCTACTCCCAGGCCACCACTTAGCTGAAAGTAAGGCACCTCAGTGGAGGGACCCCAGCAGCAAAGACCCAGGAAGGAGACACTGGACTTGTGGAATGAATGGCATATCAGGCTAAGAACAGGCTGCCATCAGAGGAAACTCAACTACCACAAGGAAGGAAGACTATAAGGAACAGAGGGTGAAGAAGGCCCATTCCAAAGCCACTTAGATAAGAACGATGTTTTTATTGCTTTTAAGCTAGATGGGTAGAGGAAATGGTTTACTAGGACACTGGCTTCCTTTTTTCAAAACTCGGGTAGGATTTCCTTGCTTTGTCAGTTTTTGTGAGAGAGCATCGTCTGATGTGTGTGCTTTTCTTTCAAGCTAGAGCTGTTCAGGGAAATGAAGAGGCTCTGGTGCTGTCTGGCACCATGGAGAGCTGGATTCTGGCTGTCTGAAAAGCCCAATGGTGCGCTTAAAGGCATGCTATTAAAAGGCATAAAGCTTTCTACCCATCAAGAGGAAAAATAGGCTGATAGTTATACTTATTAAGGATAATTGCATCATTTTTACTTGGCATAAATTGGCCAAACAGGTAATTTAACTTGGCAGACATCAAAATTGCATTTAAACATCAGGGAAGGGAGACAGCACACAGAGGTGATGGTCGAATGGGCTCAAAGACGTTCTGAGCACCTCTGGAAGACTGGGAAATGGTTCCTGTCATTTCTTACATCCTCCCCTGCTGTGCTTCAGGTTTATCCGAAAACATGGGCCTTTGAGAGAGCAAGGACTTTTTTGCACCCAGGTTTAGTTACAGACACTTTTTTGGTCTCTGGGTGAGACAGGGTCTTGTCTGGTACCCATTACTTTGTCTGTCGTTTCTTCTGGAAAAGTTTCCTAGCATCCTGGGTTGAAGCAAGGTTAAGAATCACAGTTCTTGCGGCTGAAAGTTGTTAAAGTTGAGAGAGAAAGCCAAGGCTTGAACACTTCACCAGCTTCAACATTTTGGGTGTCCATTCGACAAATCAGGCTCCACTGAACTTGGGCGAGGAGAGTAGGGTAGGGTAGGGTCAAAGGAGCGGGTGCAAGCATGGTGTGAGCCTTAAGGCAGAAGTGCCTGCTCACAAGAGCCTTGTGAGCCAGTTGTTAAAATTGCAGGAATTGGGCAAGACAGTTAATATATCGGCATCTTGAAATTGGCCCTGGTGGGAATAGTTATAGAGCAGAGATGTACACGTGCTAAAATCCTCCATGGAAATCGGGTTTTTAAAAGGTGTCGAGCCGGGCAGTGGTGGCGCACGCCTTTAATCCCAGCACTCGGGAGGCAGAGCCAGGCGGATCTCTGTGAGTTCGAGGCCAGCCTGGACTACCAAGTGAGTTCCAGGAAAGGTGCAAAGCTACACAGAGAAACCCTGTCTCGAAAAACCAAAAAATAAATAAATAAATAAATAAATAAATAAATAAAAGGTGTCGAGCATTTGTTGGCTTGCTCCTTCTTGCCCGGAGTGCGATGTTCGGCCACATCAACTGTGGAGAGGTGCGGGGATGAGCTCTGTGCACCCGACTCTGGTTTTAACCTGCTCAAGGCGTCGTCGTCGTCATGCAGTTTCCGCTGTAGTTTTCAGAAGTTTGAGCTGGAAGATGTGGCAGGTGGGTAGGGTTTACAGGTAGCCTGACTTTCCTGGCAGAGAAGAGGGAGAGAAGAGACACCCCCTGCCCCCTCCCACATGACTGGGGAGTCTGAAGGACAGGAGTAACCTCTCCTGGTGTTCCCAGGAGTCAGAGACAAGGGAGAAGAGGGTCATGAGTGCCTCACTTCCAAGGGTGTCTCTCCTGATTGAATGGGACCCACCAAACTCAGGCTACTCTGCCACCAACCAGGCAAGTCACATCAGACTTTTTATGCCACTGTGGAAATAAGCAGGAGGCATTAACCTCTAATGCTAAATGCGATTTAGTTTCAGGACATGGACCTGAGTTGTGTCCTGTTAACTGAATCCTAGGATTAGACTTTAGTTTCTGGTCTATGCTAGTGTCCTAGCTAGCTTTAACTGTCGACTTAACACTGCCCAGAGTTCCTTCAGAAGGGAGTCTCAGTTTAGGGATTTCACAGATAGATTGGCCGGTGCCGGTGTCTATGGGGTATTGTCTTGATGGTTAAGTTGATGCGGGAAGGCCCAGCCCACTGTGGGTGACGCCATTCCCTGGGCAGGTGGTCCTAGGTTCTATAAGAAAGCTAAGGACGAACCTGTAACCCAGTAAACAGCATTCCTCCATGGTTTCTGCTTTGAGTTCCTGCCCTGCCTTCTCTCATGACGGAAAGTAATCTATGAGTTGAAATAAACCTTTTCTACCCTTAAGTTCCTTTTGATCAGAGTGTTTTTTTTATCACGGAACAGAATGAAACTAGACAAGTGAGTGAGGCATGGTCATGACGATGAACCATTCTCGAATCATTCTACCAGACATCCTTCGTGTAGGAAGGCGGGCTGATGTCACTTCACCTACAACTGCAACAGCAAAGATAACAACAATTAACATTCACTAGGTGCTTGCTGTGGGGCAGGCACTGTGCGTTTATGTCCTAAGCCATGCACTATCTCCTAATGTGAACGCAGAACAGATGAACAGCAAAGGCATGTGGGGGGGTTACACAACTCAGCCAAAAACATGGCTGGTAAGTGGGATGTAAGTCCGAAGCTCCATGTCTCTCACTCTCTGACGGGTACCACAGAGACGTTCCTGATGCCTTTAGAAATCCACTAAGCACAGCATCAGTAGAAAACCTTTTGTTCACGGTTTGGGTTTGAGCTGTTTATAGTGTGAATTTTAAGCAAATTAATTAGATGGAGAAGGTTATGTACCCACAGAGAGCCCACCATAAAAATCTTTGCCACTTACTCGAGTCTCTTAACATAAATTGAGGTTGGGTACCATCACCCTCATATGAAAGCGTGAGACAGAATCTGGGAAACTTTTAGCTAATTTACCCAAGGTCATTCAGCCATTTGGGGCAGCAGGGCATGTGCCCTTTCACCGTGTCCCTTCTGTGTTAATTGCCAACCTTCTCTGCAGACTCGCTTGATGAAAGCTAGTGACGGTGTTTCCTTTCAACCCACTTTGGAGTATGTTGGCACCAATCGCTTCAGAAGACATACCACCTTCCCCCAGGGAACAGCTGGTCCATTATCCACAGAGAAGAGTGCGAACTGGTCTTGCAGCTGCTGTTTATATCTATCCCTGTGTGTATAGTCTTATCAGAAACCCCATGCTATCGGCTCCACCTTGCAAGTTGAAGCAAACACCATTTTTTTTCTTTGTAAAAGATAGGGTTGCCCTCATATTTGACAAGCAATCACAATTCATCTTATTTTTCCCAACAGTGGTGGGCAGATGGATTACTTCCAAACATGCAGAAGAAAGGAGAGCTAGCAACTTAATGTCAGATCTGTTATAAGCAAAGCCAGCGAGGATGTGTAGAAGTCAGTGGTACACGGGTTCCCAGTGCTTAGAAGCCTGTTCTAGTTAGAGTTACTATTGCTATGGTGAAACACCGTGACCAAAGCCAAGTTGGGGAGGAAAGGGTTTATTTGGCTTATGCCTTAGCATCACTGAAGGAAGTCAGGACAGGACAAACAGGGCAGGATCCTGGAGGCAGGGGCTGATGCAGAGACCGTGGAGGGTGCTGCTTACTGGCTTGCTCAGCCTGCTTTCTAAAGAACCCAGGACCACCAGCCCAGGGGTGGCACCACCCACAGAGGGCTGAGCCCTCCCCCATCAATCACTAATTAAGCAAATGCTCTATAGGCTTGCCTATGGCAGGGTCTTCCTGAGGCATTTTCTCAATTGAAGTTCCCTCCTCTCAGGTGACCTGTAGCTTGTGGCAAGCTGACATAAAACTCGCCAAGCACAGATGGTGTGCCAGACTGAGGTTGTGAGAGGGCCCAAGGAAAGCAAGAGAGAGAAGAAGCAAGGTCCCAGAACTAACAGGGACAGGCTTATCTGCAAAACTAACGTAACTTTCCAATGTTGTTTACGTAAAAACGGGGACCACATTCTGTCTTGGTGTCCCTAACAGGTTCTCAGTGGCAGCTTTGTCTCGGAGTCTTTGCTTCTCTCTCCTTTTGAAGAAGCACATTCCTGGCAGGAGGACTCCTGTGGAGCAGCACTTTGGCAGCTAGTTGCTCCTGGGGATCTTCAACTAGGAACAGCTTGGTGGTAGTAGCGGGGGTGGGGGTGGTTGTAGGAATCAACTGAGCAGACACAAAGGTCGCATAACATCTGGCAAAGTCTCAGATAAAAGGCCGACACCGGGGCTGCAGAGATGGCTCTTCAGTTGAGAGCACTTGTTGCTTTTGCAGGGGACCCGGGTTCAGTTCCCAGCTCACAACCATTTGTAGCTCCGGTTCCAGGGAGTCCAGTGCCTTCTTCTGACCTCTATGGGCACCAGACATGCGCATAGTGCACATACATACTCACAGAGTACTCATACACATAAGATAAAGTAAATACAAAAAATAAGAAATAAATACAAGGATGACACAGGTATCTTATCAGTCGGAAATCCCATGTTTTGTATGTTTTGAAACCAGGTATTGTGATTCCTCCAGCTTTGATCATTTTGCACAGGATCTCATTGACTCTTGGGTTCTTTGTCATTTAAAATTATATATATTTCCATTTTCTAGAAGCATGACTGATTCCGGAAGCCCCGGGGAATTTTGACTTAGGATAGAGGTGGTGGCTGCTGCTTTGCCTCTCTCCAGCCCCATCCAGGGGGTCCAATGGCCCCAACTGTTGCTGGGTGGAGTGGTGACCACCCACACCCACCCCATCCTGGGGTTCCACGTAGTTAAAGCAGCTTTGCTCCAGAAGGATCTGGTAATTATTCTGTCACCGCATCACCATGGCAACATATTTATATATCTCAAATGCCATGAGCCCAGGGGCTGGGATTTAAAAACTGCTTTACCCAGTGCCCTAGCTAGAGATTAGCAGCAGATTATGTTGTAGAACAGAGGGCAGGCTGCTTGGGTCCAGGGCAAAGAAGCCTTAGGAAGCTGATGTCTACTTTTCCTTTAGAAGGGGCTGAGATCCTATTAAGGGGTTGAGAACCGCAGACCCCTTTGAGGCTCATGAGACATGTTATGGCCTCTGAGAAACACTAAAAGAATCCTTCTCCTCCTCTCCCTCTTCCCATCCCCCTGAGAGCATGAATGGTAACAGTGACGATCCACCCCACATGGCTACCGGTGACATTCTCTCTCATACCCACACTTGTGATGCTTTTATGCTAGAGCTGGGCTGCGAATTCACGTCCAGCATTGTCAGAACAACGAGCAACGAGAGAGAGAGAGAGAGAGAGAGAGAGAGAGAGAGAGAGAGAGAGAGAGAGGATGATAGTATCACTAGTCAGGAGAAGGGGGGACCAGAGAAGTGTCAGAAAGAGAAGCCAGAGAAGAAGAGGAACACAAAATGTAATGGCTGAAAACACCACAGAGGAAAGCTTGCAGAGGAGAGTATTCAACCACGAGGAATGTGTGGGGCATGGTGGGACACGTTGGCTGGCAGGCAAGGGGGTACAGGGCACTCTTAACTCGGTGTCTCTCTGTCTCTCTGCTCGCTCGCTCTCTGTCTCTCTGTGTGTGTCTGTCTGTAAGTAAGAAATGGACAGCCCTTGGGACTTGAGGTCAAGGATAGCATTGTTTTAAGGTGGGGGAGAAGTTTGCATGTCTGAGACAGAGCTCGTCTATAGGAAGAGGTTGTGGGTGCAGGAGGAAGGGGGTCTGTTGCTACAGGAAAGAGTCTGCCGAGGTGGCAGGTGGTGCAGGCTCAAGGCAGATTGCCATCCTTGGTATCTGGCCAACATTGGGGTGGTATACAACCTATGGAGGTGGAAAGCAGAGGCTGGGAACACTGGAAACGACGCCCAGTGGGGCCACCAGTTCTCAAATGGCATACTTCCCTGGAGCCTCAGCCCCTTCTTCCTGGCTGACTCTGGGCAGATCCCATCACACTCTTCAGAGCCGCTCTTCACCTTCTGTACCGTGTCCTCCCTCAGAACGTGCTGCCCCCAAGAGGACCTGTTCACTTTGTCACCCCATCACAGCTCCTCTGCTCCCATCCAAAATCCTGACGCGCTGAAGATGCTGTATTTGAAAGCATCATTAAAGAAGTATCAGGACTGAGGTCAGAAGGACAGTTCAAATATTAGGCAAAAAGGGTTTTGTTTTTTACAGGGAAGAGTGAACCATTACTGCTAGGAAGAACTGGGAGAGGAAGGGGTGGGGGTGGGGTGAAGGAGGCTGTTGTAAGTGGGGAGGTATTCCTCTTGGGCTCTTAATTTCATTAATAATAGAATTTAGACAGACTTGGAAAGAAGCAGACTTGGAAGGAAGCTTGTGGACAATTTCATTAGTGATTAAGGTAAAAGTAGCACAGGCAAGCCATAAATTTCAGCAGTTGTTAAGGGGGAGTGTGATAGAAAGCAGGCAGGGTGAGTAACATTGGAGGTGGAGGAGCAGCTACCAGGCACAAAGAGGAGGGAGGCTCTGAGAAACAGAGTGAGGAGGCCCCCAGGATTTGGCAAAGCATGCCCAGGCTTCAGCCAGTATCTGAAAGAAAAGAGAAAAAACAAGAAGGTCAAGCAGTAGACTTTCAGGCTGAGAGCTAGCTGTGGAAGCTCTGGAGGTGACTGCATAGAGGTGGGCTTCCAGGAAGAGTAAGGACATTATCTTATTAAGGGGATAATTATTCCTCCCTCTTCTTAGCATGGTTTTCAATTAATCACTTCTCAAGGGTTGGTCTCTTAGCCAGGTGATTGACAAACCCAGATAGATTAACTCTTCAGGGAAAAGACAATATAAGTCATGTTCTAATCTTTGGAGCAGATCAGAATGTCATGTCTCCACCTAGGTCCAGAGATAGATTCCATTCTTTTTATAGGGAAGAAATAACTTGCCTTTAATGGGCCTCTTATAGAGCCCTGATAGCTTTAATGGCTTCTAAGACTATTGTAACATTCCCACCTCAAGAATTAAGACTCTAAAATCATTCAGGAGATGGCCTGAAACTGGGCAATGGGGAATCTCTATAACTCACTTCCATCATGAAAACTTAGAAGACCAATTCCAAAGTTGTCCAGGTCTTAGTGTCTGAACTAGAGTTTGGGTCACACTTTGTATACAACCTCCAGGCAGGCCAGCTCACTTATGAGAAGCCAGTAAGGAATCTGAGCCCTCCTCTGACTTGCCTGGCCTCCAGTCAGGACAAAACCAAGGGTGTTATAAGAGTTAGAATTGTTAATGTTCTGAGTCCTTGCCCTTGACTCTTCCTAACCAGTCCCTATCTCCTGTTCTCATCAGCATGACCTGCAGTGTCTGAGTATGCCGCGTCTTAGGGTACCCTTTCATCAGGGGGATGGTGTGCTTCTCCTGTTGAAGGTAGACCAAATCTCAGAGACCTGTTGGGGAGGTGAGAACCTTAAATGAAGTCCGGCTAGCAAGAATCGTGTTCTGAATGATCGAAGAGACAAACAGCTCCAGAAATCATTTATTTCATCTCTTTTTCTTTCTTTTTTCTTTTCAGACAGTCTTGCTATATAGCTCAGGCTAACCTTGAATTCATAATCCTCCTGCCTCAGACTCTGGAGTGCAGGGGTTCCAGGTGTGAGGCACCATGCCCAGGTTAGTAAATCGTTTATGAGGCTACAAATGGGAACTTGGTGGTCCTTTTGGCCTTGTCTAGATGACAAGAGGAGAGCTGGAATCTTATCCAAGTCACAGGAACAGAGGAGTCCTTTGTAGTAAGTCGTTTCTCAAGCACAAAGGGGCAGAGTGTGGGATGTGGTTTCTTAACCATTGCTATTCTCAAGGCCACAAGGCACAGCAAAGATTTAGCATACCCACCCGCCATTTTCACAGTCCCTTCTATCACAGCAGCAGATCCTGCTATTTCCAGCAGTAACTTTGAGGGATGGGTCATGGGGCTGCTGCCTTTAACAGACCTTACTATACGATCCATGTGAGGTGCCGGCAGCGTGTCGGTCAACACTATGTTTAGAATTAAGAAACCTCTATACAACTGCTCTAGCTTGTCAGCTTTTTGTAAACTGTACCCTGTCAGCTAACTTACCCAAGATGGATGACTTCTTGGAATATTTGGGCTAGTCTTAAAAACTGCCTAGTCTTATAAAAATGTTTAACTGCCTCTACTGTTCTTACAAGGTAATGGGTCACAAGTCAAACCGCTGGTTCTGTTTCTGTGTGAAAATGCTTGCTTGCTCAAGATAACTGAGGCATCTGCAAGACATCTGTCACAAAAGTTAAGCTGTGCCTGCACGTAGGCAGGATGTGTGCTAACTTGACCCCAAAACTGCAACCTTGTGGTTTTTGCCTTTATAAACCCCAGAGTAACCATTGGAGTCAATAGTCTTCAACGCCTAGATCTCACTGAGGAGTCTTCGGACCCTGAAGATCTCTGGTGGACCGGGAGCTGAGAAATTCGGATAAACTCAGCATTTGGAGGGAGCCATTGACAGATTCTCAACACCTGGATTGTCGAAAAGGGGCATCTGAAGCCCTCAGAGAGGTAACCTTCTGTTTGTGGCACTCATCTGTGAGACTTCTGGGAAAGCTGGTCCGGCATTGATTCCCAAGCCGGGGGGAACCACTGGGACACTTTTGTTCCCTCGTTGTTTGGTTCTGGGAGTTTTCCAGAAGCAGAGGTTGGTCACCAAGTTGGAGAACACTGTCAGTCTGTTTTGTGTTGTGTGGGTTGTTTTTTGGGTCATTTCTCATTCTTGAAGAAATTGAAAAGATGGGACAAAAAGTCTTCACCCCCAAGAACCCCCTTAGATCTTATGAAGTCTCATTTTAAGGACTTGTAGAGAAAAGCCAAGGAGTTCGGAGAACAGGTCTATATAGGAAAACTAATGGCCTTTTGTTTCCTTGATTGGCCTTCATTTCAGGTAGGCTAGCCCGGTGAAGGCTCCTTCAAATTTTCTCTTATTTACAGAGTGCATGTGGTCTTTAGTAAACCAGGACATTCAGCCAGCTCCCCTACCTTCTGGCCTGGAGGTTCCTGGTAGAGGAATCTCCATCCTTGATGAGAAAGTACCAGCCAAATCTTTCCTTTAAAGGCACCATTTTTGTTTCAGAAAATCAATAAGACCAAGGGGCTGGACAAATTTCAGCCTCTAGTTCTACCAGCCCCACCAGAAGAAAAGATGTGCCCCCTACCCTGCATGCCTGGGGCACTAGGCAGGAAGAGGAATCTGCGGCCAGAGGCACTTGTGAGTCCTGCTCATACCAACCGGTCTGCCCATCATTCACTGTCTCTGACTCTGGCCTCTGGTCCCCCTGCGACTGTCTCTCAGGCACCTCATCTCTGCCTACTCTCACTGAGGAGGTTGTGATAGTCCCCATTTTCTCCCCCTCAGGGACACATCCTGTAGTCCCTAGGTTGCCCAATGCAGGACATTTCACTTGTGCTGCCCTCCGCCCCCTCATACACTTCTCCCAGATCTCCACCTCTAGCTATCCTCCCCTTTAGAGAAACCCCAACATGGGGAACCATGCAGGATGAAGAAGGCAGGAGGGGCCATCGGTCAGTTCCGGTCTGTGCCCTCTTCTCTACTAGTGATCTGTGTAACTGGAAGCTCCCAAATCTCTCTTTCTCAGAAAAACCCCAAAGCTTAATCTCTCTGCTAGAAATGGTGTTTTACACACACTGACTGACTTGAGCAGACCGTCAGTAGCTACTTCAAACCCTCTTTGCCACAGAGGAGAGGGACTCTGATGAGAAACTCAAAAGCAGGTCTTGGGAAATGATGGAAGATTGACTACTGATCTGGTGACAATGTGAAGAAGTCTTTCCTTCCTGACAGCCAGATTGGGATCCAAATTCCCACGAAGATAGGGAGTCTTTTAACCTCTTTCACCACACTCTGTTGGAGGGGGGCGTCTCTGGGCCGCAGCTAAGTGCCCCCCAAATTTGTCTAAGGTAGGTCAGATAACTCAGGGTTCGATGATTGGTCATCTGCTTCTCTGGAGCACCTCCTAGACGTTTATCGATTGACTGGGAGGTCCCAGAAAACCAGAGGGTTATCAATATAGCTTTTGTTTCTCAATTAGCACCAGACATTGGGAGAAAGACTCAGCAAACAGAGGGCTCTGAAGGAGGCAAGGTACTGTCAGAGCTGGGTGAGATTGCCTCCCAGGGAAACAACAGGGACACCCTGGAGGACAGGCAGACTAAGCAATTAGCTAAGATTATGGTGGCACCTTAACAGGGAGCAGAACTTCAGCATCCAAGGTTTATGAAAGAAGGACAAAGGCCAAGGGGAGCAGATGCTGGGAGAGGCGCTCCCTTAAGGAAAGAGAAACCGGCCATTGGAAAGGCAAGTGCCCCAAAAGGAATGAATGCTCTCACTGGAAAGAAGCCAGCCATTGGAGAAACGAATGTCCAAACCAAAAGCAAAGGTCTGCATTTATGTTCCAGTTAGACACAGACTGACAGGGTCTGGGCTTAGCCACCCCTCCCCCGGAGCCCAGGATTACTCTGAAAGTGTGTGCGTGTGTGCTGGGGGGCAGATTCCCATCAATTTCCTTGTGGATATGGGAGCCACTTACTTGGTTTTAAAGCAGGCAGGTGGGCCAATGAATAAGAAACCGACTGTAGTACAAGGAGCTACTGGTTCACAAATCTGTTCTTGGACCCCCAAAGAACTGTGGGCCTGGGAAAGGGGACTCTGAGCCTCTCTTTCCTAGCCATGGCTGAGTGTCTGTACCTCTGTTGGGATGTGACCTGCTCCACAAACTAAGGGCAGAAACACATTTTGAAAAGGATGAGATAATGCCTAGGTTTGGATTGCCGTTGTTCATCCAGGGTTACTGAGTGCACTTCTGCTGTTCTGGGACCAATTGGAAATTACATTGTGCTTACCATCCACAAAGTTCAGGACAAATAGAGAGGCCAAATCAGACCTTGACTAAATCAACTTTGGAGACTGTCAAAAGATGGGTGGGGCTCCTTCCCTTTGCCCTTCTTAGGGATCCAAGCACTCCTTATGTACAAGGTTTAACTCCATTTGAAATCCTCTTTGGGAGACCCCCTCCCATCCTCCCTCAAATGGAACTAGCCACTGAAATTCCTAACCATCAGCTGTTTCAGTCTGTACAGGCTCTGCAGCTGACTCAGGACACTGTGGCCTCCTCACTTCAGGCTGCTTTCTGAAGTCCACCACCTCATCCACACCGCTTCCAGCCTGGAGAGAAGGTGTGGACAAGAGACACTGAGCTGAGGCACTGGGACCCTGCTGGAAGCCACCACACCTCGTCATCCTGATCACCTCCACTGCATCCAGCATCCCACACCTGGCCACATCACTCTCAGGTCAAGTGTGCCACTGGGAACGACAGGCTAGCTAAAGAAAAGTAGATTGTCATCAAGACCTGCGAAGATCCACTGAAGATAAGAGGGACATGGGGTTTAATTTAGTGCTGTTGTTTTGTCTGGCTATATTCCCTTCTGTTCTTTCCGGGAACCCAAATGGGAAACGCCCAGCTCCCCGGGCTCTTATACAAACCAAACCAGCCCCTAAGGCATGGAAGTTCCATGTAATTGCCCTGGAAAATCACAACAAGACCATAGGCTCTACCTTCTGTCCGGTCACAGGATGTGCAAGTGCTATAAGCCTCACTTTTGATATAAGGGACACCTGCCAAGGGAAATGTATAAATGACTTCTACAATGCTATGTCCTCTCCTATATATGTCTGTTTTATGTATGAGCAAACTCGGCCCGACTGTAAGGACCCAAATTATGGAGGATGTCCACACTGGAACTGCAAATATCATAGTACTTGGACCAGATGGGGAGGAGAAAATCCATCCAAACTCACCTCAGTTGATTGGCATACTAAGGTCAACTACTTAATCCCTGACCCTTGGGATATTAGATGGAAAAAAGGGGTTGTGGGTTTTGTCTATAGACATAATGAGAAGGATGCAGCCTTTGATGGGAAGACTAAGATATTCATCTATAGAGCTTTAGCCGAGTTCACACCTTAGAATTCCTTTATTTGAATGCTATAACGAAACCAGCTGCTATACCTGCCCTGGCCCTGTTGGTGGGGCTCACCAGCTGACATCACTTCCTGTCACCACCACCTTTCTCTCTCTCCTACCACTAGCCCTACTCCGCTGGCCTTCTTTGAACCCCTAATGACAATTTTAATACCATACACTTGCTCATGAATGTTGCTAATCCAAATGTTATGTCTGATTGTTGGTTCTATATCTTCCCAAGCCCTCACACTATGTAGGATTCACTATATATCAGAACCCCATTTCAATCACTCCCTTTGCCAACTGTCCATGGGAGTCTTTCCACTTGACCATTAAATTTCTTTTTTTAAATTTATTTTTACGTATGAGTGCTCTGTCTGCATGTATAACTTTATGCCAGAAGAGGGCATCAGATCCCATTATAGATGGTTGTGAGCCACCATGTGGTTGCTGGGAATTGAACTCAAGACCTCTGGAAGAGCAGCCCTTGCTCTTAACCACTGAGCCATCTCTCCAGCTCCAACCATCTCTCCAGCTCTGACCATCAACTCTCCAGCCCCAACCATCAAATATCTTAACCCAGATCGAATTCAAGGTGAGGGGACCCATTTTGACTCAAAGAGCTATAATATGTTCAAATCCCCCTTTAAGAATAAATGCAGATTCATCATAAATATCTCTCGGCTTTTGGCAACCACATTGCCAGGTGCTCATTTCTTCCTTCACCACCTGGCAGAAACGGTTTGGCTCATCTGGACTGATGGATTACACCCATGCATACTTGCCTATCTGGCATATGCGTCAAGCCCCCAAATTCTTTATCTTGGTGTCTCTGTTCCCCAGAATGTATATTTAGGATGATCCAGCAGAGATAGAGCACTTATATTCACAGACTCTTCCAGTCCCCCTGTGCAGGGGAAAAAACCCAACCAACCAACCAACTAACCAACCAACGAACCAACCAATGTGTGACTCCCCTCCTCATACCTCTCAAGCTTTGCTACAGCAGAAGCTGCTCCTGGCAGCACAGGAACAGCGATGGCTGATATTAACTTCAAAAGCATAGGATGTCAAATAACCCAAGATCTATCCATATTAGAAAAAAAAATCTATTGCTAAGCTAGAAAAACAGGTGGGTTTATTAGCTGAGGTGGTTCTACCGCATGGGACCCGCTCTATGCAGAGCAAGGAGGTTATTGTATGGTTTTAGGGGAGAATTGTTATTCCTATGCGAACCATTTGGGAATCATTAGAGATAACTCAGCTCTGCTCCAGAAAAACCTGGCAGAAAGGGAGAAGGCCCTAAAAGGGGGAGACAAACGGCTCCCATTCTCATTCTCAGGTTTCTCCTGGCTAGCAACTCTGCTGTCAGACGTTTGCAGGGCCCTCAGCCCTCCTGCTCTTGCTGATTACTGTTGGCCCCTACAACATCAATGCCTTAACCAGATAAATAAATTTATACTTGGGTACTACTATAGTAATGGCTATTAGGTCCCAGTATAAACAGGCACCCACCACAGAGTCAAGGATTTCACCCAGGACACAACTCAAAGGGAGAATGTGATGATTAACTTTGTGTTTAAAATTCAGAAACTGCCGTGCAACTGCTCTAGCTCATAAACATTTTGCAAACTGTACCCTGTCAGCTAGCTTACCCAAGATGGATGACTTCTTGGAATATTTGGGCTAGTCTTAAAAACTGCCTAGTCTTATAAAAATGTTTAACTGCCTCTACTGTTCTTACAAGGTAATGGGTCACAAGGCTAACTGCTGGTTCTGCTTCTGTATGAAAATGCTTGCTTGCTCAAGGTAACTGAGGCATCTGCAAGACTTCTGTCACAAAAGTTAAGCTGTGCCTGCACAAGTCTACTAACTTGACGCCCAAACTGTGACCTTGTGGTTTTTGCCTTTATAAACCTCAGACTAACAGTAGCTGAGGACATACTTTGAGACTCTGGAGTCTTGGGTGTGGTCCTGGCCAGTAGCTAATAAAGCCTCTCTGTTAAAATTCATTCATTGTTCGACTGGTGAGTGTCTCAACAGCCCCGGGACCCATAGCAGCAGCAGCCACAGCCACCACCACAGCAGCAGGAGCAGATCTCCTGGGAACTTGTTAAAAGGCTCAGCTCCCATGGTCATAGTGAACTATCAAGGGGTTTGGAGGGTGACTATGAAAATATGTCTCATTCTTACCAACTTCACATCTACTGGCCACCCTCTTCTGCTTCTCTTGGGTTGAGGGGCTGGTATCTTGGTAACCAGACCTCTTCCTCCCATGTCTCTCTACTGAGTGGGTGAGTTACAAGGTTGTGCCTTGGCCTTATCACAGTCACCTGCACCGAGGGGCTTATCGACCGCCTGGGTTTTCCCACCTCCACCATTCTGGGTCTCCTTCTCTTCATGTTGGTTCTGGGCACAAAACATTGCTTCAGACCAGGCCCCAGACACCAATATATATATTTTTAAAGCACCCCAGGTGAGTTCAAGGGTATGACTCACTATTCTCAGTGTCCTTAGAACTGTGCTTCTTAGCAGGGCATGATCATACAAGCCTCTAACCTCACCAGTTGGGAAACTAAGAGAAGAGAATCAGAAACTCAAGGTCATCTTTTGCTACATACTGAGTTTCAGGACAGGCAGGGTTATGTGAGATCCTGTCTGAAGAAACCAAACCAAACCAAACCAAACCAAACCAAACCAACTAATAACCAACCAAAACCTATACTTCTCAAACTTACCTCAGGGAAGGGAGCTTATGCGAATCTGGATTCTCGTCTGTAGGGCAGGGCCGGGCTGGCCCAGGGATTCTGCATTTCTAGCCAGTGCCAGGGGACATGCTTCTACTGGTTTGCATTTTATGAAGGAAGAATTAAAGTAGCCATGGTTCTATTCAAGGATAGATACCAAAGTCACTAGGGAGCTTTGAAAATCAGCAATGTGTACGCCTATCCCTCGAGATTCTGATGTAATCGTGTTCAGGGAGGCAGGATACTGAGAATTGTAAAGCTTTCTAAATCAGTGGTTCTCAGCCTGTGAGTCACGACCCTCTTGGGGGGTCAAATGACTCTTTCATAGGGGTCTCCCATGATCATCAGAAAATACAGATATTTGCATTACAATGCATAACAGTATCAAAATTACAGTTATAAAGTAGCAACAAAAATAATTTTATGGTTGAGGGTCACCACAATATGAAGAACTATATTAAAGGGTCACAGCGTTAGGAAGGTTAAGAACCACTGATTGGTTGGAGTGTGCAGCCAATTGGGATATGCAGATGTAAAAGGATGGGATTGAACAAATTGCAATATTTCGATGGTGTGGATGCCACTCCATACCTTACCTCCCTTTTAAAGGACCAAGCAGATGCCATAACAGGCTGCTAAGTCTTCTCTCAGAGATCAGGCCCCAATTTCAGTTTCCTGAGACTTGAGCAAGTTTCAGGGATGGCCATGAACAAAAGACATAGCTTCCTTTCTGTGTGTACTCTGACCACTCAAGGTTCAGCCAGTTGTTTACTGTCTGGGACCCCTCACCAACTTAGAGCTACGTGAACGAGTCAAGGACAGAGCCTGGGCCACTGAGCAGCCCCCACAGTCAGTCTCCATGGCAGCTCAAGGACAAAGCCTGGGACTTGTCCAGGCCTGCCCAAAAATGGTAACTGTGACCCCCCAACTAACCCTAGCCAATTAAAAGTTACTAACATGATTGCCACTCGCATAAACCAATCCTGAGGCTGTTCCTATGTAGTCTGTAGACCCCAAGGTCCCCTTGCTTTAAAAACCCTGCCCCATTGCTACTCGGGGTCTCTCCTGCTCTGCTGCTGCATCAGATGGATGGAGAGTCCTGAGTTCACTCATAAAACTAAGAAGACTCTTTGCTTTTGAATCAGATTCGGTCTCTTGGTGGTCTTTGGGGGACTCTGGGTACAACACCTTCATGCTGCCCTTTTCTCCTTAGAGCTCCTGTTACCTGTTCCAAGCTTCAGAACAATCTGTGGAATTGAGGTGTCCTTAAACCAACATTTCTTAGGCCTCCACTTCCTAGAAATTTTCATTAAGTCTCTGCTGGTTAGTCTGGACTGAGAGGGGCCAAAGGATTCTCCAAGCTAAACACTCTTGAGTGGGAATCCCACACTTGATAGAGGTTTTGGGTGGAAAGAACCTGGGCCGTGTCTACCTTCTTCACTGTGGGTTGTGGTTCATGGCGGGGTGGATTGCAGCTCACTTCCTCCATCAACTCAGAGCAGGGCCTGCTCAGCTCTTCCTGCTCTACTCCGAGGCCAGAAGTCCTATCCTCAAGCCTGTCTCTAGCAGCTGGACCAAATCCACAGGGCTGATTGGCACTGCCCAGACTTCTACCCGTGGCCTACGTGTGCACTCCCTAACATGGCCTCTTCTTTCCTGCGACTGTAACTTGGAGCTTTCTTTGCAGTGACCTAGTTTCCGGTCAGCAGCTCCAGAGCCAGTGTGAGCCGCAGGGCTGCACCCTCTGGGCTGCAGATTCTTCCCTCTTCTCTGCCACTGACAGTGAGGCCTCACCATTTCCCCAGAGTAAGCACAGTCTCTGCTTTACCACAGCCCTGTGTTACCATGCTGTCCACAGCCTCTGGTTATTTTTAAAGCTGTCTTGACAAGTCAAAGATTTGATTTCATTCATGAAAGTATTCTAAGCACTTGTCGGGATGGAGGAAGGCAAAGCGACAGAACACATGGCTCCTGAAAACTCGTTTCTTTGCTGCTGGTGCTGTTGGAGTTAGTGCCACTAAGCTTATTAAAGGCAATCATGGGCTGAAAGGCTCAACTACCGCTTCAGATGAGTTGGAACCTCTAACTTCTGGGAATGTGGGAACGGAGGTTGGAGAGACTTGTTGGAACACACTCATGCCCAGATCCAGGACGGGAGATGCCTTTGAAGCTGTGTCTATCAGGTTTGATCCTCCCAGGCCCAGAGATAAAGGCAAGATGAAGGAGATGTTATTAGCATTATTAGTTATACTTAGCGGGGTTTGCATCTGGGACCTGCTTGGTGAAGTGCTTCAGGCGCTACTGACTTAAATGAATTTCACTTCTCCCAGCATCACTTCTGGGCAGAGGATGAAGGCTTGAGGTAGCTCTGGAAATAATCACATTTCCTTTTATTTAGAGCGCTCATTAGGCCGGGCCTAATGGGAACACACAACCCTTTAGAGTTTGGTATTTATGGGAAATTATATCTTTTACAGACACTTGTGTGACTCAGTGACCTGGGACAGTGGGCTTTGAAGGATTTCTATGTCCTCTCCTATTGAAAGCTTCTTTGAGGCAGAATGTATTAACGTGAGTTACAACTAGCTTGGAGAAGAGGGCCCTGATGAGCAGTCAGTGCTATGCTTTGTCGGAGTCTCTTTCAGAGGGGTAGTATAAAGTACAAACTGAAGTCTTGGTTTCACCAGTGCTGGTGGATTACCCACGGGAATAGTAGCTGCACAATCGAGTGGGCATCAGGATCCCCTGGGAGACTTGTTGAGCTCAAGGCGGCTGCATCCGGTCTTGGGTCTCTTACTCGGTGTCTAGGAATGAGACTTTGCACTTCTTTCAAGGTTCTGGGTGACACTAGGGTACAGAAAATGTTCATCTTTGTGGTCATACTTTGTGGTCTGCTGAAGTAGTATGCTGAATCTCTAAGATCTAGCATCCTGAAAAACTTGAGATGTAAGATTTCCCTTCATCTGCAAGTTTCTCTCGCCGTATGTAGATTCTCTTCAGATGGCTGGGCTGGGCTGAGTGAGCAGTCGGCATTTTTATCAAGTACACTAGAGGGTGTGCCATCTTCAGTCTGGGAACTCTGACTGGGTGCAATGCCTTTAACGGTATGAAAGGCACCAGCTACCCATGCACTCATCGGAGTGTACAGATATTGGCAGCTCGGTGCAAACAGCTATGTGCTCTGTGTGCAGTCTCAGGAGACTCAGCTGTATCACCACCGCAAGACTCCTCATGTAACTTCCTCCCGAGACATATCCCTTCCCTAGTTTCCATTCCTACCTAACCCTTGGCAACTCCCAGTCTGTTCTGTATCTCTATAATTATGCTATTTCATAAGTGCTATATTGGTGGAATTACTTAGCAGGCATACTTTTGTTATTGGCTTTCTTCATTTTAGTATAAATTTCTTGACATTAGTCCAAATTCTTTTTTTTGAAGAATTTAAATAATTTAACTAAAATATAATTACATCATTTCACTCCTCTCCTCTTTCCTATCGCTCCCGTGCCTCTCCCCACCTCCCACCCCCTTTCATGGTCTCTTCTTTAACCATTGTTGTTACATACACATATAAGTGAATAGTCGTATAAGTACTACCTGTTGAGTCCATACAGTGTTGGCTTACCTGTGTGTATGTTTCTAGGGCTGACCACTCAGTGTTGGGAACCAAACAGGGCATTCATTCCTGGGGAAGACTGATTCTCCCTCACTCCATAGTTATAACTGCTTATGCTCTTCATCTAGGTGAGGGTCTCATGAGATTTCCCCATTTGTGATGAGATGCCAGTTGTTAGAATTGTCCAGGTCTTGTTTGGGCACCTATGTTGTTGAGATTTCATGGGTTTAACTTCCCTCTCACAGCTAGAAGGCACGATGGCAAAGCAGACTTCCTGGTTCTCTGGTTCTTGCAATCTTTCTGTCTCCTCTCCTGAGATGTTCCCTGAGCCTTGGGTGCAGGAGTTGTAGAGTTATCAACTGGGGATGGACTCCCCATGGTCAGTTGTTCTCTGTATTTTGACTAATTGTGGTTTGTTGTTTTGTAATGGTCTTGTCTTAATTAGGGTTGCTATTGCTATGAAGAGACACCATGACCGTGGCAACCGTTATAAAGGAAGACATTTACTTGTGGTGGCTCACTCACAGTTCAGAGGATTTGTCCATTATCATCATGGCAGGAAGCAAGGCAGCATGCAGGAGGACGTAGTGTCATAGCAGGAGCTGAGAGTCCCTACATCTCGACTCACAGGCAACAGGAAGTGGTCTGT